CTGTCTTCCTCTGATTTCCTAATTCATTCTGCAAAGAATGTATTTTTTCCCCATGTACCAGAAACAGGTTTGAATGTCTGACAGGCTGGTAAGGGTAATAATGCATACATTAATGTATGATATGATAATATGATAATACATATGGTAAGGGTGATAATACATTGTTAGATTTCTTTGAAGAAGCTGCCATATATACAGACATAATTTATAGACATATATCTATAATCTGTATCTATAGATATCTATATCTAGAATCATCTCTAGATATGGATATGTAATTATATCTAGAGATACAGATATATAAAATCTATAGAGATATATCTATCTATATCTAAAATCTTTCTAAAATCTATAAGATTTATAAAGCTATTACCTTATTTGATAATTGCACTCCCCCAACAACCCTGGACAATTGGTTTTGACTACTGACATTGTTATGCACATTTTAAAGATGAAGAAACTTGAGACTCAAGAGTCTAAGCTTGCCCAAGCTCCATAAAAACCACACTAGACTGTCTCTATCACAACAATGTACTTTAGAAACCAAATGAAGGATGCTCAGAAATTGCATGAATAGGCATAAATGGTGATTGCTTAGGGTCAGGGATTTAGAGCTGGAAAGGACTTTAGAGGTCATCTAGCTGATCATCTAGCTCACTTAGCGCTGGAAAGGACCTAACCCCTTCATTTTATTCAATTATTTAAAAAGGTACTTTATTGATGATGTCTTTTGTTTTAACATCATTTATTTCTGCAAATACTCTTCCCTCCACGCAACACCTTCACTTTACAAATGTGGAGACAGAGGCCCAGAGAGATTCAGTCACTTGACTGCCCAGGTAAAAGGAGAAGCATTTGAACCCAGGTCTTCTGATTCCAAATGCAGTGGGTTACACAATACTACACTGCCTCCATTTCTTCCTTGGTTTGCTGAAGAAATATTTGATGAGAACTACTACTAAGCAATTAGTCAATCAACAAACATTTATTAAAGTGCCTACTCTGTGCCTGAGAGGCAAGGTGGGATAGTGAATAGAGAGCTGTCTTCTGACCCAGGAAGCCCTGAGTTAAATCTTGCTTCCCATATTTATACTACTTCTGTGACCCTGGGCAACTCACTTAACCTTTCTAGGTTCTAACACTATAAATTGCAGAGAAGGTGCTGACTTGCATTGGTGGAGAGAATTTCCTCACCAAGAAGTTCCTTATACCAACAAAATCACAAGTTAAATCCCTAACCCTATTATTTGCCAAGCAGGGTTCTGGAGATACAAAAACAAACATCAGGTTTTGACATGGGGAAGGGGGAAGACAGCATGTACATAATAAGTAGATAAAAATATTTACAGAGTAAATAGCAGTAACTTGGGGGGGAAGGCAGAGTCAGGAAGTTGAGCTGGGCTGACAAGGGAGCCAGGGATTCTAAGAAGGAGGGGTTAAATGAGGCTTTGGAACCCAAAGTTTTAAGAACACATGTTTAAAAAAAAATGTTTTTGCATGCAACTGGGAAATAAGAAATACAGGATATGGGGTACAGAAATCTATCCTGCCCTACAGGAAAATAGAAGGGGAAGGGGGGTAGAGATAGCAGGGAAAGCAGACTAGTATTCAGAATGCATGCCATCTTGGGGTGGGAGGAGGGGTGAGATGGGGTGAAAATTTGGAACTCAAAATCTTGTGGAAGTAAATGTTGAAAACTAAAAATAAAATATGACTAATGTAAAAATTAAAAAAAATACCCAATAGCTAGCATTCATATATATTGCTTTGCAGAGCATTTTACACATTATCTCATTTGATACTACACCCTTATGAAGTAGGCAGTATTACTGCCACCCTTTTACAGATGAAGAAACTGAGTCTGAGAAGGGTTAAATGACTTGCTCTAGCATCACGCAGTTAATGTCTGAGGCAGGATTCTAACTCTAATCTTCATGACTCCAAATCCCTATTCATTCTGCCACCCTGAGCCAATAGGGGACAGCCACCTCTCTGAGACAAGAGGGTACAGACTGGGAAATGGTGAAGAGAAGCTTGCCCCAGCCCTCCTCTTTAAGGTATACTTCCAACTACCCTTTCTTTCTTTTTATAAGTAAACTGTGCCGTCTACAATTTGGGTTTGTCCTTTGCTGACCCACCCCAGCAGTGATTTCGGATGAAGAGTCCCCCCACCTACAGCTGGGTCTCAGGGTTGATGTTGCTCCATCAGGGACCAGTTCTCAGGATGACAGCCCAGCCCCAGCCCGAGCTATAAACTTCAACCAGCCACAAGAGTGTGCATGTGAGGTGACTGCAACATTTTTCCTGCCAAACCAGAATTAGCCGGTATAGGAATGAAAGACTGTGGAGACTTGAGCTTGCACAGGCTGGACGCTCAGCTCTTAACCCAAGCACCCCCGAGCCCCCCGGCTCCGCGAGGCAAAGGGCTGAGGGCGGCGGGGATCACCTCCACCTGCTCGAACCAGCCTGGGGCTGAGGCCAAGTGGAGCTGGAGGGCCAGGGCACCGCAGCTACAGGATGATAGGCTCCACTGCAACCAGGCTCGGCGTTCGGGGGCTCCAGGGGCAACAGCAAGGAGCTGGGGAGCCTAGGGACTAGTGCCCTGTGAAGCAGCTGACCCGGGGCTGGCCGGGAGCGGTAAGTGCGCCCGGGACTCCGGCACTGCCCCCGGGGATAGGGGCCCAGCTGCAGCCGGGGCCGCGGGTCCTGCTGAGAGTGGCGGTAGGGGGCTGCCGAGGGCTGGGGGGGCGGGGGGAGGTGGTAGAGGAGGAGGGAGAAGGATGCACCGGAGGGATGTGGGGAGAGGAGGTGTGAGTCCCCTCCCTGCCCCGCGAGCAAGGTAGTGACTTGGTTCCCCACCCGGCCGCTGCAGCGTGGGGTAACTGTCGGTCATTGTCTGTGCTGCTAGTGGGAGGGAGGGAGGGACGGACGGACGGACGGAAGAGAGGATGTGTGCTCATTTCTTGCCGCCTTTAACCCGCAGAAAGCGGGTGAGAAGCTCCTGGCCCCGACATCTCCGCTCCTGAGCGCCCCCGCTCCGCCTCCCGGGGAGCTCCTGGCCAGGGCTGCTCGCTCCCACCCCCGCGCCGTGCTCCACTCGCCCTACGCCCAGCGCGGTCCAGCCCCAGGCCCAGCTCGGGGGGAGAGCAGGCTGAGCCAGCGCCGCTTCTGGTTACTGAGGAACAAACAAAATGTGGCTATTTATGGGGCGAGGGGGAGGAGCGGGAGGCGGGAGCAGTGCGGGGAGTGGGGAGGGTAAACTGACTAGGGACTGGAAATGCTTCAGCTTCCCGCGAGGGGCCAGGGCTCTGGAGTAGAAAAAGGAGATGGGCACCTCCAAAAAGGAAGATGGCCCGCCAGGGTCCCCGGCTGCCGCTGCTCTGGGCGGAGGAACTCTTGGGGCTGTCCAGTCTCTCAGAATCCGGAGACACTGACTTGGGGGTCTCGAAAGAGAGAGGAGGGGGAGGTCACATAGTGCAGAGCCAATTGGGATCCAAGGATTGCGAGGGGGCCCTAAGGTGGAGTCCCCCGGGCGAGTCTGGCCCGCCCTCGTTAACCGGATAGGCTGTGGGGCAGCACGTGCTGAGGACAGCAGCGGTCTGGCCAGGAGGCGGGTCCACGACCCATCCCTCGTCATCCCTCCATCTCTGCATCCCTTCATCCGTCCCTGCATCAAATAGCGGGGCAGCAGCCACTGCTGCCGCAGCTTCCTGAGCTGCACTTATGTCCAGGTGTCTCTCTGTGCGTTTCAAACCCCGCACCTCGATGCCTAGTGCAAAGAACGAAAATGGGACCAATCCCTTTTAATCACCTGCAGCCTGCAGAGCGACAACTCCGCTAGGAGGCACTTAGTTGCCCGTCTCTTCCTTCTGGGATCGTAAACGTAAAGCTGGAAGGGACCACAGAATCCAGCCTTCCCACTTTAGAGGTGTGGACATTGAGGCCCAAAGGAGTGAAGTCACTTATGTAATAATGGGCAGAGCTCTGGCCCTAATCACAGTCCTTGGACTCCGCTAGTGCTTGCTCTTTTCCCTACATAAAACTGCCTCTCTTCCTCGCCATTTTTGGTGCTTAGGTGCTGAGTGCTAGGTACCAAGCCCCAAGCAATTAATGTTTACTTGCGTTCATTGAATCACAGGGTGATTATATTTTATCGCTGAAACAATTTTCTGCAGTCCAGTGACACCGATCTTCCTGCTCTTGCTCACACAAGACTCCTGGCATTTTCTCTGGCTGTCCCCCATGCCTGGAATTCTTTCCCTTTTTATCCCCACCTGCTGGCGTCCTTCAAGTGCCAGCTAAAATTCCACCTTCTACAGGAAGCCTTTCTTGATCCCTCTTAATGCTGGTGCCTTTCCTCTGTTGATTACCTCAAATTTATCCTTTAGATAGCTTGCTTTTAACTACTTGTGTTCGTGTTGTCTCCCTCATTAGACTGAGCTCCTCAGGGCAGGGACTGTCTTTTGCCTTTCTTTATATCTCCAGTGCTTATTAACACAGTAGTACCTGGTACGTAGTAGGCACTTAATAAAAGTTTGAGTGTCAGGGGGGAAAAAAATCTAAGGCAAAACAGAACTCCCTGGATTCTCTTTTATCTTCAGTGGAAACACTCCAGCTGTCCTTTGTCATAGTTATATAATCTTTTCCTATATGGTGTACATAGAATGTCATCAGACATTCCATACCTGCTGTATTCCACATCAAATATATCCAGTTGAAATCACCTTCACTTAAAAAAATATTGGATAATAATCTTGAATTCTTTAAGGTATTCTCTCAGGGTTGTGAGGATCAAGTGAGATATTTGTAATGCAATTAGCACAGTGCTTGGCACGTAGTAGATGATTAGTAAATGCTTTCCTTTTTCCTTCCTTTCTTCTTCTTCCTTTCTTTCATCCTTCTTTCCTTTCTTTCTTATAGAAAAGTACTGTTTAAGTGAAAATAGCCATCATATGTGCATTCAGGTTAAACAGACTAGTTGTAGTGAATATACTGCTATTCCCAAAATGGTTCTAGCACTCTCTTCATGAGATATTTATAGTTTTCAATATATGTATATATATATTTTATTTATTTATCATTTTTAACTTAACAGATACCAACTTTTCACTTAAAACTAGAATGCCAGGATTGTAATCAAAGAGAATTAGCCAAATAATTTTTTTTATTTTTCAAATATTTAAATAACTTATTTAGGTATATATACATATATATGAGCCATTACTGTTTTGTCCCAAAATTTTTATCTCTTACAGACAGATTCAGAAAGTAATAGATTCTTAGATATGATTGATAAAATAGTCAGCTTGTCTTCCATGATTCATAACCCAAGAGTCTTCTTTTGTGGCCTTTTTTCTCACCCAAGGTGCTATTTTTTTTTCTTTTATTTTCTCTCTTATTAATGTATTTATTTTTAGCTTTCAACATTCACTTCCACAAGATTTTGAGTTCCAAATTTTCTCCCTATCTTGTCCCTCCCCCACCCCAAGATGGTCTGAATTCTGAATACTCTTTCCCTTATCTGCCCTCCCTTCTACCTCTCCCCCCTTCTCTTATCCCCTTCCACTTCTGTTTTCCTGTAGGGCAGGATAGATTTCTATACCCCATTGCCTGTATATCTTATTTCCCAGTTGCGTGTGAAAGCAATTTTTAACATTTGTTTTTAAAATTTTGGGTTCCAAATTTTCCCCCTTCCTCCCTCTCCACCTACCCTCATTGAGAAGGCAAGCAACTCGATATAGGTTATACATGTGTAGTCATGTAAAACACTTCCATAGTAGTCATGTTGTGAAAAACTAACTATATTTCCCTTCATCCCATCCTGTCCCCCCATTTATTCTATTCTTTCTTTTGACCCTGTCCCTCCTTAGAAGTGTTTGCTTCTGATTACCCCCTCCCCCAATCTGCCCTCCCCAGAATTAGCCAAATTAAAAATAGATGATTTTTTTTTTTGGTTAGGCAATGGGGTTAAGTGACTTGCCCAGGGTCACATAGCTAGTAAGTATTATGTGTCTGAGGCCAGATTTGAGCTCAGATCCTCCTGAATCCAGGGCTGGTGCTCCATCTGCTGCGCCACCTAGCTACCCCAAAAACAGATGATTGTTTACTTGTGACTTTACTCTTAGAAGAGACTTGGGCAAAAAAAGAAATTAAAATTTTGGATTCTGATGCTCTAGAGTAGGATATGTTGCATGTTCCGAAGCCCATGCTTCGCTGAGTGTATTAGCTTAGCTGAGTGGCTGGTCGTTATTTAACAGCTCACACATGTTGCTTTCTTTTGTCCATGTATAAAGAAATTTGGAATAGAAGAGAGTAGAGGCACCAGTTGTTTTGAGGGAGAAAAAAAAGCCAGTGGTAACCGTGACTTACAGAGGCCATTTAACCAGAGACAGAGCTGGCTCTGGTTTTATTTTATATGCAAGTCAGCAAGCATTTCTTAAGTACTTACTATGTACTAGGCACTGTGCTAAACACTGGGGACAGAAAGAAAGGGAAAAGATAGTGCCTGCAGTTAAGGGATGGTAAGGGGTCCCCTAAACTTGTCTTTTTGAGATGCATGTTGATTTCTCTTGTAATAAACCTGGTTTTCAGATAAGTCTCCTGACATTGTGATTGCCTGTTGACACTGCCCTTAAAATGTTCAAAGTCTAATGGGGGAGAGAGCATGCAAATAGAAAACGAAGGAAGCCAGGGAAACCTAGAGACAGAGATGAGGAGGGAACTAGTTCCAGGCATAGAGGACGGCCAGTGCAGAAGCACAGTCTGGAGACGGAGTGTCTTGTGTGAGAAGCAGTGAAGGATGCCCATGTCACTGGATCATAAAGTATGTGGTAGGGAGTCAAGAGTAAGGAGAATGGAAAGGTCATTAAGGCTTTAAGAGCCAAACAGGATTTTATATTTGATCCTGGAGGTAATAAGCCACTAGAGATTATTGAACAGGGGGTGACATGGTCAGACCTGAGTTTTAGGATGGTCACTTTGAGAGTTGAGTGGAGGATGGACTGGAACAGGGAAAAACTTAAGGCAATAGTCTTTAACATTCTTTAATGTTAAAAAAAATAGCGTTTTTTTTAAACACGCATTTTTTTAAAAATGTTAAAAATATGTTTAAAAACTCAAAACTTTAACTTTTATTTAGTAGTCTTTAACGTTAAATTTCCTGAATCAGATCTACTTGTACTTAAAAGTTTATTAATAGCTACTGTGAAGTTTGAGATAATGAAGTTTGAGATAAGTCTTGCTTTTCAGCGTTTTGTGGCAAATAATCTAATGTTATACACTTTTGAAGTCACTGCAAGGCAAACTAACGATGACACAGTAAACGATTCTTTTTCTTTAAAGACAGGTATGACATTCAAGTGCTTCTCCAATCCCCAAGGGAAGGCTGCCTTTCTTGTAGTCCTCTGAAAGTTTGCTTAAATCTACCTAGAGCAAATTACATTTCAGGGCTGTGAAGCAACTTTTACTGGGGGGGAAAAAGTCTAGTTAAAATGTATCATGTGTTCAACAAACATTTTTGAACCTAGTATGAGCAAGGCCTCATGCTAGACCATGTGACAGATGAGAAGACGGATTCATGAGATCCTGGTCCTCCAAAGCTCAGAGAGATGAGCTGTGTACATGATATGGAGATAAAC